AGAGAGAGAGAGAGAGAGAGAGAGAGAGAGAGAGAGAGAGAGAGAGACAGAGAGAGAGACTAGTTATATAGAAAACAGCAGAGGAGCCAAATTGCTTGGAGAAATTTGCATCCGACGTGGACAGCCAGGCTACTGCTCATGCGACAATTGACGTAGCGTGGCACTTCCATGTACTGTGACCTCGACGTTGGCTAGCTAAAATACCCCGAGTAGACAGTGCAAGGTCTGCCCCGAATGCAGTGAAACAAAATCGATCGGTATTTGAAAAGAACAAGTGATGTGGAAGACAAACCTATGCCAACAAAAGCTCTAAAGCATGTGGTAAGGAAAAATGACCCCGAATACATTAAATTTGGATTCATAACGGCTGGCAGTGATGCTGAGGCGAAAGCACAGTGTGTTGAATGTGGTAAAATCCTGTCAAATGAAGCGGTAAAACCATTGAAGCTCCAGAGACACTTAAACACAAAGCACCAGGGATGTGTTAGGAAGCCAAATGAGTATTTCATTAGAAAAAGAGACGGGCTTCACGAACAACAGAAAGTCATCACAACATCTTTCCTTATTTATTGGGGAAGGTGGTCCATAATACATAAGCATGGACAAATGGTACTCAGTCATTTAATTATACATTAGGATCATATGATTAAAGGCCTTATAGCTGAACTCTCAATTTACATTCATTTAAATGTAGAACCTGTGCTTCATACAAAAAAAGATGTACTTTATATCCTAATTTGGACATGGTACCTCCTGGAGTAAATTCATTCATAAATGGGAACACTTTAAAAGAGTGATGCAAATGAATAAAATATATTCGACTAGATTAATGCTTTTGCATGTTTGCACTTTTAAAATACACACAAACACATAACTTATGCAACAACTTTTAAAATCTTCTTTTTTTTTTTTGCAGACAAGCATGCACTGAAAGTGAACAACTGTCCCTAGAAACTATGACATCAGAGTCTTGTTATTTTTAAGAAAAACATAAAGGCCTAAAAAGCGACATCAATATAGAACATCATGACTGATAGAGCATGTCTTAGTGCCACTTAAAAGTGGATTCACATCAACGGTCAATTTCTTTTCATCTTCCAGACATTCTAACATACCTCTCTGGTAGTTTGTTGCATCACAAAGTTTCCAAAATAATCTATCTTTTGGTTTTTATAAAAACAAGTAGAACTCTGCACCTATTTGTGAGTCACAGACAAACAACAGTCATTCTGTGGCTGTAACTGTCTTTGTCTATTGAATGGCAGGTTTGAAAAGCGCCTTTTCATGATTCATACTTTCCATCCTCTTGCTTTGAGAAACAAACTTCCCATTGGCCAACGTGAGAGAGCAGTTTGGAGGGGGACCAAAAGGAGTTTTTATTGACAAAAGATTCAAATGTTTATGTCTGAAAATGTTATTCCACCATCCCATCTGCACACTGTGGAGTCTTTCACTGGGCTGAAAGGAGCAGCAATCAATAACCATCCTTTGTGTCATCTTTTCTTGCTCCAGTTCAAGTGGACAATATACATTGTTCTCTATATTAACAAAGTTTTCAAAAAACTAAGTAGAACTAACCAATCAACAAACTTAAAACAAGTACCTAACATTCTATAGGTAGCCTACAGTACTAAGTGGGTTCCCCAGCACCACTAAGTTGAGATCCCCCGAGCCTACTGTAAAGTGCAAGGGGAGGAAATCCTCAAGAGGATGGCTGATGTGTGTGTAGATCCTCATACAAGGGAGGAACGACTGTTCATGTTATGGGAAAAAAATACCAAGGAAGTGCCAACGCTCTTTTAAACTAGTAACTCAAAGCTGCATTTGGCAACTTCACACAGTATCTGTGGCTCCAATTGGCAGCAAAAGGTAACTGAGTTTTGAACATTTACCAATCAAGTCATCACAGTCAGAAAAAGGTGATGTTGACCAACCACTTCAGTGTTATACTTGTTGTACAGTATATACAGCGCTGTAATAATGTTGATAGTGTGCTATGTTTGGCAGCTAGCATTTAAGTTTTACTGTGTATCATTTTGGACGTTTTATTTGTGCTCGTTGTAATTACGTGAAGTGGTTTGCAATATTAATTATTCACATTGCAAGTCAAAGTGGATATATACTCGAATGTACTCAGTCACATGGTTGTTAGACAGGCACTGAAGATATTATTAGGGTATCCTGCCCTTTCAGTATCTTGACAGCTCACAAACAGCCGTCGCCTAACCTCACAGCACTTCATTGAGATTCCTGCATCCTGTGAAAGGATGCTTAGGGTTGCATTGTGTGCGCGTTTGAAAGGGTGTAAATACTTGTTCCAATACTGACCGCCGACAGCTGACTTGAAACATCAGCCCTGATCCTCTCATTGCATGTTTAGTAACATCCTGATTGTTAATTTTGTCCGGTCAAAAATCATCAGTGTAATAGCCCTGTCTCTTCCTCCTCTCTCTCTCTCTCTCTCTCTCTCTCTCTCTCTCTCTCTCTCTCTCACTTGCTTCCTTAATAGCACTTCAAATGGGCCGTGTGAAATGGGTTGCAAATTTGACTTCATGGCATTTCCTGCCCTACCAATTACTCCTCTCCATGAACCTTTGACACATACACACACATACACTCCCTCAAAAAGCAGACTAAATTAAAAGCAGAGGAAGAGTGATGGACCTTCAAGGTTAAAAAAGACCCTTTACACCCACATGTCCTTAAATATGTTAAGTCTCCTTAGGCAGGCTGTAGCCACTGGTTAATCAGTGGGAGATTTTCTTTTCTATCACGAAGGAGTGCTGCTCAAAGCACAGACCCTTACATTTGAGGTGACAGATGATTCTTAAAAAATGCACATACAGTATGTGCACCATGACATTTGCACACAAGCAATATGTAATTGTGTTTTTTTTGTAGATATATTTTTATTGTGAGTCTGCAAAAGAGAGGCAGGAAATGAAAGGGAAACCTGATCGCCGCTTTCTCGATCAGACTGAGTAAGTGTCAACAGCCGGCTCTTAATTCTGTGGCCTGATGGGAAACGTGTCGGGAGGCCCACAAGGAGGGATTGAACAAGGCTCGACCCTGAAATGGACGTAGAGAGAGAGAGAGAGGGATGGAGGGGGTGGGAGGAGGAGGTTAGGAAATGAAAACGGGGATTGGGCAGTGTGCAAGGGGAGAGAGATGAACTCTGAGTAGAGGGACAATCAAAGTATCCAAGAACCCCAGAATCACTCATGTACACACACACACACACACACGTGCGTACGCATTTCTGCCCCCTCATATACCTATTGGGCCCTCTTTTCCGCAGATTACTCCTTGTCCCAAGTCACCTTCACCATTCCACATTCACTCATTCCCCCCCCCC